GGCGTCCACGGGGCGTCCATGGGCCGTCCACGGGGCGTCCACGGGGCGTCCATGGGCCGTCCACGGGGCGTCCATGAGGCGTCCATGGGGCGTCCACGGGGCGTCCACGAGGCGTCCACGGGGCGTCCATGGGCCGTCCATGAGGCGTCCATGGGGCGTCCACGGGGCGTCCATGAGGCGTCCACGGGCCGTCCACGGGGTGTCCACGAGGCGTCCATGGGCCGTCCATGGGGCGTCCATGAGGCGTCCATGGGGCGTCCACGGGCCGTCCACGGGGCGTCCACGAGGCGTCCACGGGGCGTCCATGAGGCGTCCATGGGCCGTCCACGGGGCCCTGCTTCCACCAATGCTCCATGAATGGTTTCCAGTGCCTTCAAGGAGGTCAGAGCAGCGGTTCTACAACCATGATTCTGATTGGCCGGCACCAATCCCCGAGACGGGGATCACTGACACGCCGTATTGATTATTTTCATCCCAGAGTCACCACTGGTGTTTACCTCAGGGAGGTAGAGCCTAATCTCCTAGATCTCCTCAGCTCGGCAGATATTGGACCACTTGGAGAAGCGTTCGTTTTTCATGGAGACCCTTCCTCCCTACTTCAGAGATCAATGTTCTTCTCTTTGCCAGGCTGTAAGGCAGCAATATTTGCTCTTATCTGACCCGTCTCCACGGCTCTGTTTCTTTTGCCTTCCAGCAGAAAAGGAATGAGGCAACAAAAGAATACTGTCAGGTTCTCTGTTTAGATTGGATTTTTAAATGTGCAATCCCCGCTTGAAAGGGACGTCTCTTCTGTGAAACATAACTGGTGTCCACTCAAGGAGTCTTCATTAAGTCATCTTTATTTTGATGGTTATAATTTTCCTCCAATCAAACAGGTGAAAACCCTCAAAAGAGACAGAAGCTTCTAATTACATTAAGAGATCAACATGAAAAGAAAAAAATCAATTTCTACTTATTTAAATCATTTAATCCTAAAGAATAATAAACATTAAGTATTTTATAGTGAAATTAAAAAGCAATTAATAAATTAGTATTTTTATCAACATTTTTCTGCTTTAACTAATAAACACCAAGTTTATTTTTTTTTATATATATTTTTTAATTTTAATAATAATAAACAATCAACCAGATAATCAGAGTCAGTCCATGTGAATAAGCCACTGAAATCAGCTTACCTGCTGTCCTTCAGTACAGTTTGCACTTTGCATGTTCTACCATCACTGTTCTGCTTGCATGCTGTGATACTTCCTCAAACCAGAGTGAGAGGTCAGCCACACCAAAAGTAAACTCTTTGATTGCATGAGATTGAGTCCAGCTGGTTCCCATCTCCAGCAGGCAGAAACTAGCAGCAGAGGGGAGGGGCTTCCTGGCAGTTCACCAAAACAATACTGCTGTCAGCTGTGAGCTGTATCACTTCACGATGCTCCTGCACACCATTAAATCACTTTCCTGCACAATCCTCATTAGAGTGTTTGGTTTTTGTGCCAAAAACCCTTACCATGCAGGAAATAAGGAAGTGTGCTCAGATGGCCTGGAAATCATGTGTACGCCCCAACAAGGAAACAGAGGGAAACCATGCGCCCTGCGTGGATCTCTCCTTTGCAGGGCAAACTTTGAGACAAGAATCTGATGTAGTTTCAGCAAATGTAGAAGACTAGCTTGACATGGTGCTTGTTGCTATCCTAAATTATAGTGATAGTAAACCATCATTTAGGAAACAGCATTACAGTATAACCAGCCAGTCTGTGCTAGGGCTAACCCCCCCACACCCCTCCATTCAACACCAATGTCAGCTCGGCCCACAATGCATCATGGTCCAAAACAGCTTCATGTCTGAACTGGGATTGTATGTTTCCTGTTTCTGAGCAGCAGAGAGCAGCCGCTCAGTGGTGGCAGGTGGTCCTCCTGGTCCCTGTGCCAGGTCCGCTGGGTTTAGGGGGGGGGGGGTGGGTGAGGACCAAAACTGCTGAAAGGATGCTGAAAGGTTGATCAAAGGATTTCTGCAGAGTAACAACTTTTTGGACCTTCCTTCCCTCAGCTATGGAAGAGATGCAGCGCTTCGCTCGCCTACCGCTGGGGCACGCTGAGCAGGAAGAAGGCCTTTGAAGAACCTCGACCCGGTTTCCACGGTGTCCTCGGTTTCAACCCTGTGACAGGACGGGAGGAGCCGCTGTATCCCAATGCCAAGCGACAGCTGCGCATCTACCTGGTGTCCCTGCCCTTTGTCCTGCTTTGTCTCTACCTGTCTCTGTACGTCATGATGATCTACTTCCAGATGGAGGCCTGGGTGCTGTCCATCCACGACCAGGAGCCTTCGTTCTGGACGGCAGTGCTTCTTTTCATCCCCAGCATCATCTACGCTGTGGTGATAGAAGCCATGAACCTGGTCTACAGATACGCTGCAGAGTTCCTCACAGAATGGGGTAAGACGCTCAGATGTCCCTGATGATTCACGTAGGCTAACCTCTGCTAAAAGTGCTATCCTTTCTGGTTAGCTATCCTCACTGGATAGCTATCCTCTCTGGTTAGCTGTGTTCACTGGCTAGCTTTCCTCACTGGTTAGCTATTCTCACTGGTTAGCTGTCCTCACTGGCTAGCTATCCTCACTGGTTCGCTATCCTCACTGGCTAGCTATCCTCACTGGTTAGCTATCCTCACTGGATAGCTATCCTCTCTGGTTAGCTGTGTTCACTGGCTAGCTTTCCTCACTGGTTAGCTATTCTCACTGGTTAGCTGTCCTCACTGGCTAGCTATCCTCACTGGTTCGCTATCCTCATTGGCTAGCTGTGGTCACTGGCTAGCTGTCCTCACTGGTTAGCTATCCTCACTGGTTAGGTATCCTTGCTAGCTAGCTATCCTCACTGGTTATCTATCCTCCCAGGTTAGCTATCCTCACTGGTTAGCTGTCCTCACTGGTTAGCTATCCTTCCAGGTTAACTATCCTCACTGGTTAGCTATCCTCACTGGCTAGCTATCCTCCCTGGTTAGCTATCCTCCCTGGCTAGCTATCCTCACTGGTTAGCTATTCTCACTGGTTAGCTATCCTCACTGGCTAGCTATCCTCACTGGTTAGCTATGCTCCCTGGTTAGCTATCCTCCCTGGTTAGCTATCATCCCTGGCTAGCTATCCTCACTGGTTAGCTATCCTCCCTGATTAGCTATCCTCCCTGGCTAGCTATCCTCACTGGTTAGCTATCCTCACTGGCTAGCTATCCTCACTGGTTAGCTATCCTCCCTGTTTAGCTATCCTCACTGGTTAGCTATCCTCCCTGGTTAGCTATCCTCCCTGGTTTGCTATCCTCACTGGCTAGCTATCCTCCCTGGTTCGCTATCCTCACTGGCTAGCTATCCTCACTGGCTAGCTATCCTCACTGGTTAGCTATCCTCACTGGCTAGCTATCCTCACTGGTTAGCTATCCTCCCTGTTTAGCTATCCTCACTGGTTAGGTATCCTCCCTGGTTAGCTATCCTCCCTGGTTAGCTATCCTCCCTGGTTTGCTATCTTCCCTGGTTAGCTATCCTCCCTGGTTCGCTATCCTCACTGGCTAGCTATCCTCAATGGCTAGCTATCCTCACTGGTTAGCTATCCTCACTGGCTAGCTATCCTTTCTGGTTAGCTATCCTCACTGGCTAGCGACCCTCGCTGGCCAGCTCCCTGGTTCGCTATCTTCACTGGCTAGCTATCCTCCCTGTTTAGCTATCCTCCCTGGTTAGCTATCTGTACTGGTTAGCTATCCTCCCTGATTCGCTATGCTCCCTGGTTTGCTATCCTCACTGGCTAGCTATCCTCACTTATTAGCTATCCTCCCTGGTTCGCTTTCCTCCCTGGTTCGCTATCCTCACTAGCTAGCTATCCTCCCTGGTTAGCTATCCTCCCTGGTTCGCTATCCTC